ATGAACCAGACTGTAAACAGCCTGCTGTGCTCTGGTGATGAGTGAACATATTCTGTCGGTTGAGCCGAGGCATGAGGTGTTTCTGCTTCAGTAGATTGTTCAAAATGTCCCGGTTCTAGCAATGGTTTGGCCACGTACTGGAACGTTGATCAGGTATTGTTCCTGATGATCTTGGACGAGGATATGCAGCCATACTTAGCTTTGGATGTTTTGCTCTTTGTGGAAACAATGGAGGCATTGCTGTTGTAGATGGCTGGTGCTGTTTTCTCAGCAGATCCAAAATTAAAGCAATATCCGAGTTCATTTTATTTTCAAGCCTATTTAAATGTTTGTGTAAGTCATCCAGTCTTCTATCGATATCTGGATTGGATATAAAACTGCTCATATCTTCCACTACCACACTAGATGTCTCATCCGGTAATGAACCAGAACGAGACATGCCAAGTGGTGCCGATGTACTTTTAGGAAATGATGGTCTTGCCGAATAATGACGTGCTTTACGCTTCAGAAGAGGGGATGATTCCGGAGTGTGATGTCTACTATTGCTTCCTGATACTGCATTCACGATAGCGTTTACGCCAGATAAGGCATCTATGGAATAATGAGATTGACACATTATTACACAATTGTACTGAAAAAAAACTTACCTGGTGTCTGATACAGGATGGACACTTTAACAGTTTATCATGCTAATAAGGAAATTATTTTCCCAACCAGCTTTCTCAGATTACTTGGTTCAAAATTAGTGCATTGAGATGTACACAAATATTTAAAATAAAAACATTTAGAGAAAAAGTGTTAACCTAAAATAAGACACTTATATGGGAGAGTACAAGCTCAAATTTATATTATTTGCTTTTCAAATGGCTGTTTCAGTCAAACATGCCTTTGCCGATAAATTTGATAATATAATTATGAATAAAACTGTTTTCATTGAAATCAAAATAAATGCAATGGGTATAGGCTTGGTACAGCATATTCCATCACCTCAAAATATTTAAATGTGTATGACCTTTGAACTTTGAAAGGCAGCCAATCAAAATCATATTCCGAAATAAGGAGAGCTGTGAACAAATATATGTTGTTGTATAATTTCAAATTTACAAACGAAAGTTTAGACTTGTCTGGTAGTCAAAAAAACAAAAATGTGTGTATCTCACAGTATTTTAATGGTGCATCCCTTATTTACCCTTCCACATATACACATAATTGACCATACAACTCTAGACACACCTAACCATTTATGCCAAATTTATGTAGATTTCCCAGAATCCTCAGCTGCATATTTTTGCCCTTTTTTTCATAAATTATTTTTTTATTTAGCATTGAGACAAAATGACTTTTGCGGTAATCCAATAAACACACACAAGGTAAAATGTTACAATGTTCACGCTACATAAATACAAACAGCATCTAGATGGCTAAAAAATAAATCTCTATTTGAACAAAAAAAAGAATTTTCTAGCTGGCATGCTATTATTACCGGTATAAATATATGCTATGCTATGTTAAATGACAGAACATCATGTACTTACTTGTAGTACAAAGATCATATGGATTTAGCATTACACAGATTATTAATTAAAATATATGGAAATTTTGTCAAAAAACAGAACTTGTGCATCTTTAAAATAAATCTTGTGTGTGAATATCAATAGATAACAAAATAAATACTCTGAATCCCAGCATGCTTTGTATTTATGTGCATAATCAAGAAACATTTCTCATATTTTTTTCAACAGACGTCTCTTGCAAAGAATCCTGGGAATCTTTGACATGCTGTTTCTTTATTAATAAGCTCTATAGTATACACATACGTGAAATATGCATGACAAAACCAATATAAAACAGATGGCATTTAATTTTTTTTTTAACTCAAAGAGGGATAACCAGCACCAACCATGCAGCACAGTAATTAATATTATCATTATTGGGTTATTAATATTATTATTATTATTATAATAAATTAAACTGATCAAATGAAAGTTCTACAGTGCAATATTATAGGTAGCCAGCTTGAAACCACTCTGCTGGATTTTATTACAGAGTCATGCCAGACCAAAAGACTGTACATTATTGTCATATGTACCATGCTTGCAGCAGCACTGACCATCTGTGAAGACAATGAAGCAGCATGGGGTTCTGCACTATGACACTGAATGGAGTTCCATGCGTGTGATGCCTCGAAGGTATGATGTGTTTGATGACTTCAGATATGATGTCTATGACTTGAGGTATGATGTGTATGACTTAAATTGAGGTATACTAGTAATGTGTTTGGCTTGAGGTATAATGTGTTTGGCTTGAGAGATGATGCATGTGACTTGAGGTATGATGTGTGTGATGACTTGAGGTATGATGCGTGTGACAACTTGAGGTATGACACATACGTGTGATGACTTGAGGTATGATGCATGTGATGACTTGAGGTATGATGCATGTGATGACTTGAGGTATGATGTGTGTGGCTAGAGGTATGGTGTGTGTGATGACTTGAGGTATGATCCGTGTGACTTGTGGTATGATGCATGTGATGACTTGAGGTATGATGCGTGTGATGACTTGAGGTATGATGCGTGTGATGACTTGAGGTATGATGCGTGTGATGACTTGAGGTATGATGCATGTGATGACTTGAGGTATGATGCGTGTGATGACTTGAGGTATGAT